GTGTGTATATATATATATATATATATATATATACACACACACACATATATATATACACACACACACACACACACACACACAGACACATTCACACACACTTTAAAAGAATGAAGAGAATCTATATAACAGATATCTATGGAAGAAATCTTTTACAAACAGCACTAAATGGAAATATGTGTATAGATCCAACTTTGTGATGTACGACCCACAAAATGAGACACAAACTAAAAAGTCCCGCTTTACAGTCTCAGGTATTGACTCACAACAGTAAAGATTCACCACTGCTATGGCAGCTAAAGGCCTTTGAATCCACTGGATAGGTTTTTTGGGCTTTCGCTGCAATGACTGTGTCTTCTCTCCCCGGAGGACCATGATTTACATTGTTGTGAGTCACTGACGGAACAGTATTTTTATCAGGTTGAGTACTGCCGCTCAGATCCACTCAGAGCAAGAAAACCAATCTCCCCACTTCCAAATGACCTGATATTTATGCCAAAGATGGACAAAAGCTTCTTTAATGTCGCTACTTTGCTGCATTAAAGCCGCAGAAAGTTCATGCCCTGTCTGTGTCCACTCATCCATTATGTCAGGCATAGTTCTGCTGGTGAGGGTGAGGAGGGGGGGGGGTGAGGAAGATGAGGAGGATGACAGTGACTGAAGATGACAGCTAATGTCGCGGAGACTGCCGGGGCGGGCGCTGTGTCTAAATAACCAGGTGCTGCGATTCACTTTCTGCCTGGTTAAACAGTGGAATAATTGGTCAACTTAGCCAGTAATTAGAGCGGCTCTGCCACGCTGCATCTGAGATCCCGGCAACATCTCCGCCATACTAATTGGGCTATTTATACCCCCAACACATTGACCGGGCTCGCAGGCTTCCCCTTTCCAATTCGCGTCTCGGGCTCTTGTTTGTTTTTTGCGGCCGAGGACTCGGGACCCGGTGACTCCTCTGAACTTCTGTCCCCTGTTTCTCTGTCCATCCATCTGTAGCTCTGGTTTTTTCTCGCTTCATCTCTCCCCCTCAGTCAGTCAGACCTGCCTCCGTCTGATTAACACAGCCGGCCGGGGCCAGACAGACACCCAGGAATACTTGCTCCTTTCTTTAGAAATTCGCATTTTTCTCCTCTCTGGCCCAGCAGCTCATTTTTGAGCCAGAAATGAGCTTCTGCTGAGAGGCCATCTTCAGCTCTCCTCCGCGCCTCTCTCCCACTCTCCCACCTTCTTTGTGTGCCGCGGCTTCTTTCTTTTCTCCGTCTGTTGCTCAGTGTCTCTGCGTCTGTATTCTCTCGGCGTTCCTCTTATCTCCCCCCTCTCCCTCCCTCCCTCCTCCTCCCTTTTCTCGCTCTCCTCTTATGTTTTATTATCCTTACTTCTGCCGTCCCTTCCTTCTGTCCTTCCTGCTTTTTCAGGCTTACCCTGAAACCCCCATCAGGAGCAAACAAGGCTCCTTGACATTCAATTTCTTGCTTGCTACGCATTTCTCCTTTATGCGTGGCTCCTGTCCTTTTTTTCCGGGGCTCTTTTTGTGTAAGTTGAATAGGTGAATGGACGCGGCATTGGACAAATAGCTGGGCAGCTGGTCTGGGTTGAATGAAGAAGGTGTTTCGGTGGGGTGGGGTGGGGGGGGGGTGCCGTGTGGCCTCTCTCCGACAGCAGTTTAGCAATGAAAACTAGAGAATAATGATTGTCTTTTCATATATCTGGCGTGAAGTGTATCTCTGACTGGATGCGTGGCCATAAACAACCAGGTAAACAGTTTGATAGTGCAATAAAATGGCTCCTAATAAAGTGCTGGATGGAAGAACATCTTTAAAATTCAATTTTGCGCTTTGAATAACCCTCATATAACATTTATGTCGCCATAATCATAACTGCGTTAATGAATTTCTTTATTACACTCCCATTATTGTTATGGAGTAAAATGAACATGTTGTTGTGGATTTCAGCTGTCGGCAGATTTCCAATCCTGATGTTTTTACAGTGTTGTTTGCGGGCCCTGTGATATCTCCCTAGACCGTGTGTCACTGCCACATAGGATGGTAAAAAATGTTTATCAAGACCACTAAAACCCAAACAATATTTCAGCTCATGCCATGAAAGAGACATGTAACCCCCACTGCCCATTTTGCTCTGTCAAATAAGGATGAATAACATAGAGTTAGACAGTTTGTGTTCATATAGATGTGAAGAAAGAGACAAATAACATCTCGTGGATAAATATCGTGCAGGCACCTGCACAGATTAGCCTTTTTATTTACGTTTAGCTTCTTCCAGTTTTTTGCCATGTCGTCAGTTTTAGTGCCCGCTCGGCGCCGTGTTGTGTGACAGAAGGAGAGCTCGCACCCGACCATTAAGCTGCAAACACCGAGGAACCGGTAGTATTTATCTGTCGATTTACACAAACGTCCAGCGGACAGAGATTCAGCCTCCCTCCGTTTTCACGAAACATTTGGGATTGATTGTTGCCTCCCGATTACAGAGATTTGCGCGTCTTATCAGAATTGCGCGCTGTAATTTGATGGAAATAGAGCTCAGGCCTTGAAATTTCCTTTTTAGAAATCAAATGCGGAGTAATAATTTCCTGAATAGTGAAACGTGTCATTTTTCTTCATTTGCAAAGCGTTACAAAGAGTTCTTCTGTTGATTCCTTTCCTTTCCTGGTCACATGCAAACAGAGATTATTAAAGAGATATTTTCAATTCTGTTGCTACTGTGGTTTACTTCATTTTTTCCACGAGCACCTCATAAATCCAATGAGACCGAACCAGAGTTAATTCCAGCCGACGTTTCCTGACATTTGGAGCTGTAGTGAACGTGTTTATTACCTCGCCAAACCTTGATTAAAGAGTTCAGCGAAGCATCGACTGTGACATTGTTTCAAATTTGAAATGCGTTCTCAACCAAAGAAAGACAAGTTTTCATTTATCTGCGGCTGTATTATTTGTAACACAACAAAATCGAAAGGAAATCAGCTACGCAAGACAAGATTCATAAATGACTTAAGGTGATTCTCTAACAGCTTTTTTCTCTTTGAATTTTTGAAAAATGAAACCACAGTTTTTGACATCAGTTGACTTTCACCAGTCAAAATACAGGAGTTGGTTTATTTCAGCCCATTTCGGATGCAACACCAATGTTTTGTTGGGTGTTTTTCCCCTCAGTGAACTAATGTCACAGCTGGCAAAATTGAATGTAGGTACAAGAAAAGCAAACAGCTTTAAAACATTGTTTTTAGCTACATGAGTTGGACGTGAATTCCAGGAGCTTTTATTTACTCAGTTGAACCTTTTCTCCTCGCCATTGTGTTGTTACCAGTGATGTCATCCTGTCATCATCATCATTCTTACCAAATTGTTGAACGGCAAATAGTGGGGAGCGGCAGATCATCAGGCCTTATTTACGGCTTACAGCGGGCCGAGGACGGCTCGGAAAAAACTGCAAGTTAGTCAGTTGTGTCAGAAATGAGATTGTGATGAGAACGTGCGACTCCCCGGCTGCGTTTGTGTTGATGATTCCGCTCGCGTGTGTGTGTGTGTGTGTGTGTGTGTGCGCGCGTTTGCATCGAGTCCTGTTGAGAGATAAATGAGTCTGGTTGACATTGTCTGGAACAGGTGGTGTAATCAGCGGGGAAGACATACAGACACACACACACACACACACCCACACACACACACGCACACCCACACACACACACAAACCGATGCTCCCAATTTGACTTCAGTGCCTGGCTTGTTTGAGAGTGTACCCCGTCTGATTGGATAAAGACGGAACAATAGGTTGCCTTTGAATTGCTCCCATATTGAGCGGCTGATGTATTGATTACAGAGCCAGAGAACCCACATTAATCATTCACAGCATGTTTGATTGACTGGCTCATTTTCTTTTATGAACATTACGCGCTATTTATAGGCCGCAGTGGGAATTAGTCAGTTTGTTAACAGATCAGTTCACCCCGGAATAACTCCTGGAAAGCACCAGCTCCCTGTGCACGTCTGAATGGACGCTACCTTTGTGTGTGTGTTTGTTTGTGTGTGTGTGTGTTTTCAGGTGAGCGTAGTGCAGGACTCGGTCAACATCTCGGGCCAGAACGCCACGAACATGGTGAAGGTTCCCGACTGCCGGCTGGCCGAGGAGCTGGGAGATCTGTGGGAGAGCTCCCGATTCACCGACTGCTGCCTGTGTGTCGCCGGGCAGAAGTTTCAGGCGCACAAAGCCATCCTGGCAGGTGAGGACAGCCTTTGTCACATGTGCAAAAGGTGATGGATACACTCTTATATTTAGCGTGTGGGTGCTAAAAGGCTTATTAGAACTCTTGGAAACAGATCACTTCTACTCTTCTTTGCGTCGAATGTCTCTGAATCCATCAGATTCAGTCTCTTGAGAATTCATAACCTATCCAGACACCACCATCACCTCCTAGAGGACCAAGGATGCTGTATCTATAAGGTGGTGCTCCACAACATTTCCATTTAAGCAAAAGAAGCTGCTTCATTAGTTTTTCAGCACCTGACAGCAGGGCCCGATTCTGAGCTTCCAGCTGTCTCACACACTTACAAATCAATCAAACTCATCTTCTTTTACAGCTTTTTTGTCGCTGCCAGTTTTACGCCTTCGTAGAAAACCTAAAAAAAATCCGTGCACGGGGGGCCTCCTTAAAGAGTGAGCTCCGTCAGTTCACGTTGACCCGATCTCGGCTCCTTCACTGAGAATAACATCAGGGAGCTCTCATCAATGGAGAGTGCACTCCAAAGCCAGATGTGCTCGGGTATTAGTGAGCTTTTAATGAAAAGTGGTTCATTTACATGCAAATATCTGCTGTATGGATGTAAAGAAAGGACTATTGAGATGAAAAAGATTATTGGCCTGAAATGTTGGCTGTGCGTTGTGGTCTCTCCGTTGTATTGAGCAACAAATGGAGCTGTGAAACTGCAAAGACGGCCTTGGCTTAACTTTTAAAATGGTAACAATCATTTAATGGAAACAAAGGTGTTTGGCTGGTTTCTGGCCTCAGAACAGACTTACTTTGTACTTTTGAACTCTTCTGCTTTGACCTTCTTTTGATATTTTCTTAAGATATTAATCCTTATGCAATGCCTTTTTCAGGACCGACGTCTGCGCGTCGTAAATGTCAATGTAATTCTCTGCGAGCGAGGCATCTTCCCGGTGACTAAATGAAAATGGAATGTTTAAGAGCTCGATAATACACAGCTGTACATCTTCTCTTCGTGACCTTTCTGCTCCAGAGGAGCTCCGACCCCGCTACGACAAACGAATCCTGCTGAGGGTTATTATCTCCGTTTGTTCTGTGGTCGGAGCCACGTTAAACTCTCTAAAGTTTCAAGTGCGTCAATTTGAATTCCATCATAATTTGAGAGATTTTTCCCCACTCGGTGCTTTCAGCGCCCTCAGGGGTGAAATTAGAGTCTAATGTCTTGTTATCAGAGTAAACATCCATAAAAATCTAAAATGCATATATATTTATTTGAATATTGCGATGTTTGACTGTGAAAATAGCAATTCTTATTATTTCAGCTCTAATGCCCACAGTTGAGCGTGTTTTATTATTCATGGAGGAGTTTGTCATTATTCCAGGTTTCATTGGAGAGTTCCGTTTCGGTCTAAACGCTATTTCAGAGCTTTTTTCTCGCTGTGACGAGAATTACATTTAATTTTAATGAATAATTTTGCTTTCCGCTGGGACGGCTGAATTTGAAATTTGAACTGTGTGTCGCCGGTGGCCTTTCGGGTGAGATGCACACGCTCAGGCAAACAAACGGGAAGTTGCTTCATACACTGGCACTCTGATGACAGCCCGCGTCAGACGGCCAAAGTTTGAGGAACTGCTGAACTGTGCGTCTCTGTGGAGACAAGGGGGAGGCTGTTCATTATTGGATTTGTTGAAACGTGTGTGTGGAGCCATTTTAATTATGTGCTGCTGTGGTTTGGGGTCTTCCCCTCTCTCCCCCGCTCTCGCTTTCTCTCTCTGCTCTACTTGGTCTCGATGACGTCCCTCCTCCTCGTTATTCCCCCTCTCGGCTGTTCCCGTGACAACTCTCCCGGCCGTTAATCGCCGTGGAGACGGACAGAGAGGAATCAAATGAAGGGGGGAGAGCAACTCAAATTGGCTATGCACTGCCCGTGTGATCTTTAAATCCGTCTCTTTTCCTGTCTATTACCTTCTACTTTATCTCTTACCTTTTTTTTTCTGTATCACTCCTTTTGCTTTCACTTTAATTTCCATCTTGTCTGAGTTTTCTCACCCTTTCTGTTCCGTCTCTGACTCCCCCCCCTCTCTCTCTGCCTCTCACTGCTCCCTCTACTGTTTATCCTTCACGCGGTCTTTGTACTTTGTCATTTTCTCCTCAAATGATTCTCGATTTTTTCCCCCCCCTACATTTGTGTACCTGTCTCTTTCTCCTTGCTCTCCATTCTTTCCTTCCTCCAGCCCTCTCCATCATGCTCTGCCTCTTGCTCGCCCTTTTTTCTTGCTGCAGTATGAGCTCACCAGTATTCAGCTGCACCATACAGAATTTTTCTATAGGTTGTATCCCTTCCAGCGTCCTTATTTAGAGCCAAGATGGGTATCAGTGCAAATGATTAGGTCGCTCTGTGTCTCTGAGCAGGGTTACCCCGCGATCTGGAACATCTGGAACATCTGCACAGGCACTCCAGATGCGAAAGGCTTTTGGCAAGCTCTGGAGCAAGTGCAGCGATGTTTATCAAAGCACGCATAATGAACGAGCAGTCTTTAATTAGAGAAAGCACTTTCTTAGCCAGAGACTTCTGTTTTATTTGTCTTCGATTTATTTATCTTTACAAACACAGTAGCGAAAAGTCAGGAACCAGGAATCCTCTTCAGGTTCACTGATACTTTATCTGGCTGTCACTGAAAGAAGTTTGAAGCACACCTGTTTTATGATCGTTATTGTCAGAATTTACAGAAGTTTTGAAGTCACCTGTTTATGTGTTGTGCAATGTGTGAAAACTCTAAAAATATCTGTAATAGAGTTCAACACAGTCGTACAATTTTTCTTTGCTTGGTGCTTCTGTACCGTCTGTTTGCATTTGCTCCTCCAGTAGACGCTCTGAAATGTGTTGCCAAACGAGTCAAAATACCGTGTTGTCTTCTAACGCTCATTGGTTCAATATATAGACCTGTTCTATTTTACAAAGTATGTTAAAAATATTCAGTGTCCTCTTGGCGGTTGATGCTGTTTAAGCGATTGTTGTCATTTTTTGCTCTTTAACTGCTAAATGTGGTCATTTTTGACTGGATGTTGATGTGACTCTGAACCAAATGGATGAAAAGGCTGCTGGATCTGCCCTAGGCGGTTTTATTTGTTATAAAAATGTTTGTCCCGTGAATTTGCTTAAATGACACATATTATCATCGCAGAGGCCGCTGCTTTCTTTTGATTTCCGTCAGTTTGATTGATAACATCATGTGTTCTATCGAGTTATTTTAATGGTTAGCTGCATTAACAACCCATTATTAAGTAGTTGAATTAATTGTCATATCACTGACTTTGGCACATAATTAACAACGCGTTAAAATTTAATGCGTTTTTTCGTTCCGAATTCATTAGTCAATGATAATGTGCCACAGTATCAGAAAACAGTGTGATTCTGAGTAAAAGGCCAAACTGTAAACTATGTGGGGACACATTCTCCCTCCGTTTGCGGGGTTCAGCCTCCGCCTGAACCCAAACCAACCGCCGTCACGGTAGATAAGAGCGAAAACACACAGCGACGCGGCCTTAAGTGGAGCGACGGAGCCAAGATGTGGTGATTATTTTAATCTCGCTGAATAATTTTGCAGCCGAGATTTCAAGCAGCAAAAGTCGGAGTGATTTATTTAATTTGCTGCGCCGTGGTTGGGCCAGCAGGACCTGTCTGCAGCGGAGATTAAACACGACCTCTCCTGCTGCGCCAGCGGCTGGGATATTCAGCCTGAAAACACACCAAGCTTAGAAAGAAACAAAGCAACCAGAGGGTCAGGGACAAAAACCCAAGATTCATATGCAAAGCTGACCAAAATGTACTTATTTGTAGTCATCTCTGCTTCTTTTTTTTTAGGAAACTGAGCATTTTTCTTCTTTTTTTCTTTCTTTTTTGTGGATATCTATATGAATTTCTGCTAAGAAGTCTGATTTTTATTTGAACCTGCATCATCTCTCGACTGGATTTGCACACTTTGGAAATGGGTGTCCTCCTCCAGGGAGAAAAAGTGAGCAGGAGTCCGAAAAGATCAGGTGACCGTGCTATTAAAACATTAAGACAGACACTTAGAAATGTCTTAACGGGTCACGTGAGCGTCAGCGTGTCAGCTGTGAACACTGGCTTAACAAAGCAAAAAGGCGATCAGGAGTCTGTCAGCAGGAAGCACTTGCAGATGACTTTTTTCCACGCGGCGCCTCGGCGGCTGTCAGCGCTGTCAATCATCTCTCTGCTCTCTTGAAGCCCAGTGGCAGGTTGTTCACAGAAACCAGAGACCTCTCCATCTTATCGACACCACGCACAATAACAAGCCCTCCTTTTCTCTGTCTCTGCCTCTTGTTTCTCTGTTCCAGCGCGCTCGCCGGTGTTCAGTGCCATGTTTGAGCATGAGATGGAAGAGAGTACCAAGGTGAGTTGACTTCTCCCCTTGGAGACATGTCTGATTTTTTTTTTCCTCTTTTAGCGTCAATAAATACGTCTCCTTGTCTTCTCCCCTGTCGTATTGACTGCAGCCCGATTATCTTCTGCCATTAAAAGCTTCTCTGTGGTGTTTTTTTTTCTTTTTAAGACAACGTCATTGCTATTCCTGGAAAGGAAATCTTTTTATAAATCAGTTAGCGAGCCTTTTCTTTTCAACAAGCTGGTTTCTTCTTTTCATCCGGGTGTCACTTGGCATCAGAATGATTTAATTCCAAAAGAATTGACTGAAGTTTTGAATGGATTGAGGCTTAATTAACTTTAACTCTTGTATTTGTGTTGGCGATCGATGGCAAGATTACAGGGATAATTATGATTATTTTGTATGTAAGGTTCAATACAAGCTTTAATTTGGACTTACAGAACATGTAAGACCATTTTTTCCGGTTCACTTTGTGCTTTCCTGAACAGAAACATGTTCATTTCTTCAGAATGTATAACGCTCACACAGAATATGTAAAAACTCATTTATTATCTCAGTCTGAAAAGTCCCTGCTGGCAGTGGCTTTAATTGACATCAGACGTGGGGAAAAAGCAAAGAATTTAAATGTGGGACGTCAGCGAGATGACAGATAAAAAAACTAAACAAAAAAAAACTACTCCACTCATTAAGACTGTAGCTGATGCTGGAAATAAAACAAACAGGACATTAAACAAAGGGGTGATGGATGATGGATGTGTGTCATTATCTGACACCGAACACAGGAAACCAGGGAGTTGCAGTACAGTGGAAACTGATGACAGTGAAAGGGAAGCCAGAGTGATGGGCCCAATCCCTCCAGGTGTGAGAGAGTCCAAAACCGAGACTCAACCGAGAACCAAATCGAGTTTTATCAACTAAATTGAAAAGCGCTAACCCTTAATAGTGATGAATATGCTGATTTATTCCACGCCTGGCTTCTCTGTCCGACATCACAGCTTAAAGACCTGTAAAACCTTTATTTCCAGCCTTTTACTTTCCCCTGAATGTACTTGCCTGGAGTATTGGTGCATTTTGTAGATGATTGTCTTTTTGTTAGGTGTGCTCATTATTCTTCTGTGTTTATGTGTACCGTTTCTTGTAGATGTAGATTTAAATCTCTCCAGAGATTCAGGTCCCTTTTAGGGACTGGAAATAGTCCCCAAATTGTGAAAGAGATTTTACAGAAAATTAGTTCTAAGCTTGAGTTGTGTAGTCTACGTCTTTGGGAAATGGCTGTGCTCTGAAGTGGTGGAAATAAAGAACGTGCGCGAGCTCGCCGTGGCACATTTGGTTGTTTTCATCCGATAGGAGGTGGGGAGATTGAGCTGTGGTGATTTAGCCGTCATGTCAGTGGAATATTGATGCCCGCGCGGCTCAAATGGGGAAATTATAAAGCACAGAGCCAGGAAATGCATCTTAATTGCTGCTTAACTGGGCGTCTTCATCAGAAACGGGGAGAAATGGTGGGCCATGTCCCCATACAATTCAGGGAAAACAGATAGATGAGTTAGCACTCCTCTGCAGCACTCTATAGAGGCGAGATAAACGAGCTCATAAAGAAACACTCTAATAGAGGGCTGCTCTGTGTTTGGGAGAGCTTGAGATACTGTAACTACAGGACTGTTGTCTATTTATGTGACACTATTGAAAGTTGGCCTTATATTACAGAGGGATATCCGGTTAATTCTTTTCTCAAGTGACTTTATTGCGCTTGTGTGGTGATATTTTTTTTTTTTATATTTCATTACTAGTCCAACACACTTTGGAAGTCAGCAAGATAAGTTTTGTCAGCGCGCCGGCCTGACTGAGTGGACGGTAAAAGTAGGATGAGTAACCGCCTCTATGGGCCAAAAGCTGTCTCCGAGCCAGGATGTGCTCATAGTTTAGGGCTCCAAGCCCAAAACCTCTTTGCAGTTCATCTGCGAGGCTGATGCGCACACAGCAAACAACACATTTCACAAGGTTTTCCCTCACCGTAACTTAACCCTAACCCACACTCGGGAAGTTCAGCTCAGAAAAAGAGCGATTGGCTGAAAATTGACTGAAGCGTTATCTTTTAAACTGCAGAGTTTGTCTTGGCTGGCCTGTTTGTCACCTTCTTGGCTGACTGTAAATGTGCTCACCTGTGCCCTGTGTTATGTACATTTCTACAAAAAGGGCAGCATAACGGGCCAAAGCTGAAGGATCAGGTGCTTTCAGACGTCATTGTTTCTTTTGGGGGGGGGGGGTGTTGTGCTGAGTGGTCAGGGTTGACACCGGCCCACTAACTGCTGCTACACCCAGCGTGACCTCGCTGAAACGCCACCGGTCACCTTGGTGTCGATAAAGCCGGCTTTATAATTGGTTTATTGCGGTGTTTTTCTTCTCAGTGCACGGGGAAAAGGCTCAGGTTACCGTCTCTGTGCCAGAGAGTGATAAAGCTTACTTTGTTGGCTGCAGGCTCAGTCAAGCAATGAATGCTCAGGATTCACTTCCAGGGAAAGAATTAGAAATGTGCTAGAACGTCGTTTTCTTTTGGAGCGTGTTCAGACTGTTCAAAGGGCTCATGGAGGTTTTTATTCTTATCATCCGACTCTTGGAAGTTGTTTTGCATCGGGGCTGACTGTCCCCCGAGTGTGCGCTAAACAAGGTGAGGGAAAATTCGTCACAGCCGACTTTTCCCAGACTCGCCTCGAATGAGAATCCTCCGCCGTTTGGGCTAGTTTTGAAAGGCAGACAACGCATTAATCTTTGTCTTCTCTCGCCCTTTTTATCCTGTTAAATCCCGCGTGTGTTCTGCTCTCCCGTCCTCTCCACCCATTCAGAACCGTGTGGAGATAAATGACGTGGAGCCAGATGTCTTCAAAGAGATGATGTGCTTCATCTACACAGGCAGGGCCCCCAACCTGGACAAGATGGCTGATAACCTGCTGGCTGCAGCTGACAAGGTACTCAGTGTGTGTGTGTGTGTGTGTGTGTGTTTCTCGCACCTGTTACAATGTAAATTTGCACACAAATGTGCATTTGCAGGTGTGCATGATAATGCAGCCAAAACACACACCAGAGACACATTTCGCCCCGGAACAGGAACACACTTACAGTGCTGTCTGCTGCTGTCCCGCTCATTTAAACGCAGAGATCCCACCTCTGTCTGTTTTGTCAGTCACTAAGAAGTTTCACGGTTCATTTTCCTGCTTCTACCAGCTCCAGTGTCAAAGAAACTCCCGCCCGCAGCCTGTGAAATCTGTGGACCGGCCCCGGGTCCACGGCCACGCTTAGAGACATCGGCCATGACGTTTTAGCTGTTTGGCTAACACTATGAAAGCTCTCTGAGCAAACCCTTCTGAAACCTTCAGAGCATGGCCATAAGAACTATCACAGTCTAATTCACGGCTCGCCTGTGCAAACCGACGCCAACTGGCTGTGGATGCACACCAGTCGTCAGAGGTTCTGCGGTTCTGTTTCGTTTGGTTTCTTTTTGTCGTCGCTTGAGATTCACCCGGGCGCTCCTCCGTCTGACGTCGGTGCCCCTGAAGCCTGGAGCAGATCCTTTGGCTGGGTGGATCTGACATGCTCCCAGGCAACACATGGATGCCTTTTAATTTCCGGATTTGAAGGAGCTGGGGTTGTGCTCTGGGCTCGTGCCTGTTCTCCAGCCGTTTAGCAGCACGGGGTGCATTTTCTTTCTGGATGATCATTAAGGAGCAACGTTGCATCGGAGTTGGGGGGCCGGGTAGTACCGGATCCAAGAAGAGCCCTCGACTTTACTGTGAACCTGTTTTCAACGCAAGTCTATTCTAAGACTATTTTAAAGCTTTATTACTAATTTCTTGTTTTTTGTGTTTTCCTGACACTATTGTAAAACTGACCTACTTTGAAAGAATAACTGGCATTTATCCGAACTGAAGGACAGAAATAAGAACAGATGTTTGCCTTTTAGGCTTCCTACAGAATAACAGCACCTATTGTGATGTGTGCAGCTATTAAAGGTGTCAGATCCTTCTGTCAGTCAGTCTCCAACGCAGCTCAGTTTTATGATGAATGTCCATGTCGAGATAAAAGGACTTATTAATGAAAAGATGGTGGCAGGTTAGGACATCATGTTTCCTTGATCAAAGTAGTCTCAATAGACCTTCTGCCATTTAAATCCAGCACATCTCATCAGGTTTTTGCAGATTTCCAACAATCCCATCTACAGGCCGTGTTCATTCACTTTATCACCCTCCTTAAATCAGATGCTTTTCTGAACATCTACGGACAGGAGATGGATATTTCTATCTGACTGAAGGACCCTGACTTGGAGATTTATTTAAATCAAACCTTGAATCCTCTTTGCAGAGAAGCCTCCGTGTTGCTTAGTTTTCGTGTGAAAAAAGCCGCTTTAACATACTGAATAAAAGCTGACTTAAGGATGTGTTCAAACCCTGCACATTATCTAAAAACCTCTCACTGATCATAAGAATTGCTCTCTTTCTCTGCCGAGCCTCGGTAAAACCACCTTAAAGTTTGTGAATACTGGGACGGTTGTGCCTTGTAGTTGTGTGATCAAACTCTGCAAATACTCTCATGGTATCCAATCCCCTCTCAGTTTGCGTAATTGTTACTTTTCCTTCTCTTCCCCCGCAGCTTTTCAATTTAGAGCCTGTTGCCTCTGCCGGGGAGGGATTCTGGGAGCAGCCGTTGTTGGTGGCGGCGCCGTTCAGGTCATTTGGTTTTACCCGCTGTCTGTGGTCTCCCTGTTTCCCCGGCAGTATGCTCTGGAGAGGCTGAAGGTGATGTGCGAGGACGCGCTGTGCACGGGCCTGTCCGCCGAGAACGCCGCGGAGATCCTCATCCTGGCCGACCTGCACAGCGCCGAGCAGCTCCGCACGCACGCCGTGGACTTCATCAACTAGTGAGAACCCTCAGATCGGACGTTTTGGCGGCCATATTGGTCAATTCAGCAGCAAGCCTGGGCCACCGATGTGCTACTCGTTTGGGTTTGCCGTGGTGATAACAAGAATCTTTTTTTCTGCCATCACCTTCCCCCCGCTTCCTGAATTCTTTGCCTCACAGCCAAGCACATTTTCACATCCTCGCCCCTCTGTTCGTTCCTCTGTGCTTTCCTTCTCAGTGTTACCACATCGCCTGGCCTTGTTCCTGCCTGCCTCCTTCGGCTTCCTCCATTTTGTGTTGTGTTCCCTCCTATCTCTCCTCTCCTCCCCTCGCCTCCCCCCTTCTCCCCTTTATCCCGTCCTGCTCTGTGCTTAAGAGCTCATGTGCGCCTAAAGGTGTTCTGTAATGCAGATTCCTGCCCCTAATCCCGGTCATTAATTGTGGTTATGGGCGTTATGACAGTTTAATTTGCAACAGCGTTGTTGTGGTGGTGGGAAAATTGGCCACGAGGGACTCCCGGCCAGCAAAGCGTTATCAACCTTCCTCCCGCGGACACAATCGACAGCAATAAGAGTGGAAAAACAAAAATCAATTTAGAGGCGAATATCGAAAAGCGGCGACGCGGAGGAACCAATAATCCTGCCCCAGTAGCACCTCAGCCGCTTTCCAGGCCTGCCTTTTGAAGGCTCTTACAGCCATTTAGTGGGGACAATAGGAGTCCTTTTTATCGCCCCTCTTATCTAATTTATTCGCCCTCTCCAGAGATGTAGCAAACAGTAAAGCCACCCAAACTCCTCATCTGCTTTGTTTATTGAGCTGAAATAGCTCTCCAATTTTTTCAAGTCCAACAGGAATCTTTAGGCAGAGTAAATGTATTAAATAAATCACACAAATCATAAGTGATCCAAACAAGCTGCGTGCAGACTGGGGAGTGGTGTTTTTTTTTTTTTTATGTGTGTGTCGGTGGACGTCCTGCTTTGACTATTTATCATAATTTCTCTCATTTGATCTCCTCCTATTGAACTCTGACACTTCATCACCTCCTTTCCGATCTCTCTTACCTTCTGTCCATCTGCACCCCCCCCCCCTTCCTGCTGCGCTTGCTCTCCTTCTGCCCTTTCGCTGGCCTGTAGTCTCATCTGCAGCACACCGGCCATTACTGTTAGTTCCTCCACTGAGAATAGGGTCAGAGGTTGGCTGGAGGTCTGGAGCCGCTGTGCAGACAGCAAATGAGCGCACACACACACACACACAAACACACTCACACACACACAACAAACAACCCAGTGGGCCTAAACACATACACGCCAAAAAACACAAACACCAGCGAGCATGCACGAGCACACACGCGGTTGTTTATTTACACATATTAAACTATCAGAAATGTCATTAAAGGCCACACAGCGGTGTGCGTGATAGTGCAGGCCTGCACCCCGAGGGCGTCGGGAGGGCGTCTGCTGGTGTGAGCAACCATTTGCAGGAGGTGATGACCACAAGTAAACTCATCAGCAGTTAATTACACGACCTGTCCACACAATCACCTATAATCCATGAGGGTGGCTGTTATTCTCAAGGGGGAAACTGAAGAAAGGGAATTCTTAATTTGAAAGAAATCAGGTTTGTAATATTGTTTGTCCACAAAATCTATGTTATATTAATACATTTATTGAAAAGCAGTGAATGACGCAGCTAGTAAAGTAACCAGAGAAAAAAACAAAACTCTTTAATCAGGAGTTTTACTTTAGTCACATTAAAAACGTGTAGCATCATAATGTCAGAGAGAACAATAAAGATAGGTGCTGGAAGTGGAAAATACACTATAAAACATGAATGAGTAATGGGATTCGGACAGCTGTGTCAGTAAAAATCAGATAAGAGGAGTTAATGTTATCAATGATAGCAAAATGCTGTTTATCTAGATGTTTCTACGTGTTGTTATTTGTGAGAAGGCTACACGATTTATGATAACCTGCCCTGCTGCAATCCATACGTCATATATGGAAGCAGTGGATGATTCATCTTCTGTTGATTAACAAATTAACTGAGTAATTATATTAAAAATGATTGGATATGGCGAATGTGAGTCAACAGATGTTTTTCAATCACATTTTAATGTCACCGTTGTTATTTTGTGAGTTTTTTTGGCCAAATATGTTAAAGATAGTAAGAAAACAACAGCTCTGCCAGCTGGTATGACAAATGTATGTCTCATAGCAGCACTTTCACACAGATGGACTCTTATAATCTCAGAGTCTTTTTTTTTTATCCATTCTGCTGGAACGGCCTTTTTTCCTCAGTTTGCCTCTCTCCCTCCTTTGCTTTCAGCCACGCAGCAGACGTGATGGAGACTTCGGGCTGGAAGTCCATGGTGATCTCCCACCCGCACCTGGTGGCGGAGGCCTATCACTCGCTGGCCTCGGCCCAGTGCCCCTTCCTAGGCCCCCCACGGAAACGGCTGAAGCAGTCCTAGTGGCGCGCTGCCCCCCCCCCCCTCCTCCCGTCGTGACCCGGCTGCAGCCGCAACCTTTCTGCTCCTCCCTCCCAGACCTCCTTCTGCCCAGATAGGAGAGAGAGCGACCCGACACTGACGAGGGATTGGCCATATACTGGTAGGGGAGCTAGACATGCCATAAAGGAGGTGCCACACATCTCTGTAGGTGGACACTGAGGAAGTCCGTTATTATCTGAATTTGATTTTTATGGATTGAGAGCCCAAAGTCGTCCTTTACAAAGATAATAGAAAGCCAAAACCATCTTCTGTAAGTATGTTCTGTAAGTAAAATACTGCTTCTGAAAATGAAAGGTCATGGTTCATCTTAGAAAATATCATTTTGGGACGTTTCGTCCGGTTACAGTATTAAAGGCCAAACTCTGCTGGTAAAAAAGAAAACCAAACGACTCTTACTGGTCATTTCAGTGGTCTGTCAAATGTTTCGTTCTTGTTTGGGCACAAAGTTCCTGAAAGAAGACAAACGTGAGCACATAGCTCAGTGTTTAGCTTGTGTGTGAAGCCCGGCAGAAAAAGCAGATTTGCCCACTAACAGCTGTGAAACCATGTTTGAAGAAAAGTCGCAGCATTTGAATACTTAGTCCACTGTTTTTGGTGGCATAAATGCCCCCCAAAGACCCCCATCCACTCCAATGGACTTGCCTTTACATGATGGAATACCATTTTACATGCTGTCATATTGAAGGACCATTAAAATTCTGTGGAAATGAATAAAAAATAAACAGAATTTGGTTTCAGAGTTGAGACAAAGTACAATGTGCAATCTGTGCCCCGCCCCCCCCACTTTTCATTCCTTGTAAAACCACTCAAAGTAAAGCCGCATTTTTCCTTTTTGTCAACACTGTCATAAATGTGCTTGTCCCGTTTGTGTAAATTTTATTGGAAGTGTCACTAGACAAAATTGGATTTTACTCCTGCACTGGAGCTGGCTGAGCTGCACAGTGAGCAGAAAAATGGCAAAGAAAACACACAACTTATCTCACTGTTTTGTCAGGTAAACCCATAAAATGTATTTTTCATTTTATCAAGCATGTCTGGGTCTTTTTCTCGTCCTCTTTATCATTTCACGCGTAGTCTGTCCCCTTGCTCCCGATTGTGACTCATTAAGTTATAAGGGTATAGCTGTTTTTCTCAACCTGCTCCCGGTTTCTCTGTGTCTGGAGGAAATCTTTCAGTTTCAGCTTAATCCTGATGTGATCAAAGTTCAGTCTCCTGTGTAGTGCTGACAGTGATGGCTCATTTCCAGCCGTGTGGTATGTGGAATAAGCTGATACTTACGGCTACAAGCCTGTTTGACTTGGCCCTCTTATCCCTCTCTCGGAGAGCAGACAGGTTGTAATCACTGGACCTCTCCGCTGGACTGTATTTTAACAGGGATTTCTTTTTGTTGACCAAAGATCGTGGCCCCGTGGGCTTTCAGGCGGCTCATCCCTGAGCCTGCAAATCACTCCCCATCAAACGGATAGTCCGGCCACCGTTCTTCGGGGATATTCGGGCTTTGAGGCGGCGCTCGTCAAACACAAAGAGAAGCCCGCCGCCTCGTGTAGCTTTAAAGCAGCGTTTTGGAGAACTTTTGTCGCGCGGAAACCATCGTCTGTTATAATTGATGAACAAGAAAGACCCTCTCCAGGAAAAGGCCACTGACTGAAACCTCGAGCGGCGCCCTCACATTTCCACATTTCTTAGAGAATCTGCCCACAGAGGAATGGGGAAGTTTGACGGGGGCTTTCAGAAGAGTTCCTGGGTCCGTACAGTGAAATCCACTGTAGAACAATCTCACAGTCATACAGTGTACAGACTCTGGATGGTTAATGTGCATTAAACAATTAAAAACCCTCTTTTTTCGCAGTTTTGCTCTCCCTGTCTCCACATCTCATACCTAGTCATGTTACTAATTTGTTAAAAGGTGCTTAATTAGACAACAATGTACCAGGTGTCTTTTGGCTGTTTTCACAGCTCCACCATTTTCTTTCTTTTTTTTTTTTAAACAAAAAAAAAAGATCACTTTAACTTTTCATGTATGATATATGTATTTCATGATATAACTTTTTTGTTTAAAATCTCAACTGAAGGCCAAAAGAGGGAAAATAGTTTGGTAGTTTACACTGACATCAAAACAAACTGTCCAGCCAATCTTTTAGGGTATAATATTTTTGGGAATGTCCACAAGTAAGCGATAAGCTGAATTTGCATCCGTATATGTTTTCTCAGATAGCAGCTTGTTGCCATCCTTCTGTCTTAGTTCAGATCTCTGAGTGCTCGGGTCTCTTCTGACCTTACATGAGACGGTTGGGGAAATTGAAGGAGGCGTTCTGGGTTTGTTTTGCATGCGGCGGGAGTCCAGCGCCGCTCCTCGCCTCCCCATCAGTCTCTGGTCTTGTTATGAGGGAGAGGAAAGCGAGGCGTGGCGGGTCAGAGCTGTGACAGGCTCTGCGTCTGTGTCAGCCCTTCCATCTGGACTGAGGGGGTAGAGCCGGGAGGAGATTGACGCCCGGTGGTCTGCGGTGGCCTGAGGGAAGAAAAGGAGGAAGAAAAGGAGGAGGGCTGTCGGGGGGGCGTGGAGAGCAGCGGGGAAAGGGTCAGACGCTCCCCTGGTTTTGAGTTGGTTTGAGTTTGGGGATCAGCTCTGGACCTCAACGGTCTGTATGTCAACACCACTCGTGTTGCCAAATGAATATTCACATTATTAATCATTATTATTTCTTATAATCAGAATATTGTGTGAATATTCAAACATTTCCTCAACATAAAATCAGATAAACTGATATAAAAAAGGGTTTCTGCAGCATTTTTCTGAACAGCCATTTGTATAAATGAAACCAGAGAAATACGACATCACATGACATTTCATGCTTTTGTATTAAAGAATTATTGATCCAAAACTCAATAGGTAGTTTTTGTGATGCTTAAACTACATTTAGGATCAATATATATATATATATCTTTTTTTTTTGTGAATGTAGCAGATCATGCCAGCACTTACCTGCTCAAAAAAAATACCGGCTGAATCTGAAGATCTGATATTGTGTTGTTTTTTGGGGGGTAACATATGAAAATATGGAATAAAAAAGGGGGATTTTAACGCATTAGCACAGTTGTCAGTCATGGGGAGCCCCTGGTACGACACCGCCTGATACCACATTATTATTAAATGTATTATGAGCTTTATGAGGAGCTTTTTGACCATCTATCTCCTCTGATATCTCAGGTAATCCACTCAGATGATATCGTCTGTGACAGGCGGGGGGGAGCTCAGGCCTTGGGGCAGGGAAGTGGAAGCATGAAGTGACAGGGGTAATGGATGGATCGAGGGATGAAGAGTGATTGGGTGTCATACAGGTGGGATAGGGCCAGACAGATAGTGAATGAACGTGCAATGGAGGATGGATGGCCGGAGCACCTCAGACACTGACAGCGTTGAGAGATTTGTCTTCTTTGCACACCATTTGTCTTGTTTTTTTTGTTTTTTTTACCTCTCCGCCATGTCTTCGCAAGTTGAATCTCATAAAGCTATTTACTCTGACAATGCAGAGGCAGCTGCAGTACTTTTCCACCATGCTGCACTGGAATGCAGCGAGCTGCCATTTTGGGAGCGTCCGCCATTCTGAATGTTTCGAGGGGGGGTTAGAGGAGAGGCACCGATAAACAAACGGCAGCCCACGACGAAGCGCTAGCTAATAACATGAAAGGGAAGATGGAGACATGGGAGTTGAGTCGCGCATGGACGCAATTACGCATACATATATGAGCGGCTAATTGCTTTGTGCGCTCCGGCCCGTTGTGTGCGTATGCCGGTGCAATATCGCAGTGCTGTGGGTGTTTGCCCAGCTCATAACCGCACACCGATGTGGCAGACACAAGCTCATATATTAAGATAACCTCGAACTGGAATGGAATTGTATTTCCCCGGCGGTTCAAACGACTTCTGTGGTTGTAAACTGATAGCGGATGAGATTTGGCTTTAATGAAGCACGACTTATTGTGTGCGGCACCACGCAGGAAGGTGTACGGGGCGTTCATATTTCATTATTCAGGGGTGTGTTTGGGCTACAATTGCGAGTGTGTGTCCATTTCCTCCCCTAAACAAGAAGCCTTGTCATCCGCCGGCGTGTGTTTGCTCGCGGCTAATGCTACTGTACCGCCATTTTTCTCCCTTTGAGGTTAGAGTGTGTGTGTGTGCGAGGGCCGTGATTTATTTCAGCTGAACTAATCAAGTGAAAGGTTTTTATTTTGCATTCGTCCCTGTAGTGATCTCTTTCAAGGTTAGGTGTTTTGTGTTTGTGTGTGTGTGTGTGTTTATGTGTGTGTGTGCAGGTTGGGAGAGTGTCATCTTCATCTGTTTATTGGAGCGCTCCCGCTGTCCTGGCTGTAATGAGACCTGTGGAGCTGCAGAGTGATGGAGCCCAGCTCATCAGGACCACGCGTCCCATCATCATTACACAAAGACACAACGGCAGCACGTAGGTCCGATGGTGTTAAACCTCCTCTCTTTAGCTCCATCAAACCTGTTTGCAGGACCACAAGTTTTCATTAATCCTTTTTTTCTGATGTCTAAGCCCTCTTCCATACCTGCGTTTTTTTTTTCTTTATCAGTGATTTTAAACCAGTTCGCACCCTTTTTGAAGTGAAAGATGACACAGCTAAAATCTTGCCGGTAATTGGAATGACATAATATTCCAAGAATGTATCCTCCTCTAATTCTACCTCACACACTTCAGCAGTGGCTTAAATTCCAGCTGGGATGATTAGCTCAGTTACCAGGTAGCAGGGACACATTTTACCAACCTATATCTTCCCGTGGAGCGTTAATGCTGTCAGAATAGAGCCGTGGATATATGAGTGCGGCACAATAGAAGAGGAGACGAGGGGAAAAGGCCTGAGGGAAGCTTTAATGTCTCAGAGGCTCCATTTAGTTACCGCACATTCAAAAGAGAGAAATAAACACAATAGATACAAAAATA